GAATACCTAAATAAAGATGCATGCTATGTTCATTGATTGAGTCAATATTATTAAGATGTTAATCCTTCACAAATTGACCTGTAAATTCAATGCCATCCCAATCCCAGAAATCTACAAATAATAAAAAATATAAACAACCCAATTTAAAAATCAGCACAAGATTTACAAACACTTAACAATGGAGGATATACATACAAATTACTAATTAACACATGAAAAAGGACTCATCATCATCAGTCATCAGGAAAATTCCCATTAAAGCCACAAGGAAATACACTACACAATGACTGGAGTGGATAAAACTAAAAAGATTGCCAACATTGTTAATGAGGATATGGAACAATTAGAACTCTCATACATTGCTAATATATGAGAATGTAAATGGGAATGTAAATAGCAGTTTCTTATAAAGTTAAGCATATACCACCAATCCTTTGACAGAGAAAAATCCTATTTTATTTCTATTTCTATTATCCTATTTAATTTCTATTATAGGTCTTTATCCAAGAGAAATAAAAACATTTGTCCACAAAAAGACTTGTATAGGCATGTTCATAGCAACGTTATTTACCATAGTCTAAGGTGAAAACATACTATTACATTCATACAGTAAAGTACTGAATAGTAATCTATTCAGCAATAACAAAGAACTAACTAGAGAAGTAAAAACTAAGGTGAAAAAAATCAAAACAGTTATTACTTCTACTAGGCCAGGTGTTGGCTGGAATGGGATACAAGGGAACTTTCTGGGGAGTTTGAAATGTTCTATACCATAATATCCATTTGTCAAAAGTATACAGATAAAAATTGTACACTTCAATATATATAAATATTACCAGAAAGAACCATGTAATAATGATAATGATGATGGAATATGTTTTTATTGACTACTTCTTTTTTTTCTGGAGTATGGGTCACATTTTCCTATTCCTTTACATGCCTAGTGTTTTTTTGTTGTTGTTTTCTTTTGTTTTTAAAGATTTTTATTGGGGAATTGGGGGGATGGGAACAGTGCTGGGGAATTGGGGGAAGGGGGACAGACAAGTTGAAAGTCGTTTTGTTCTTCAGTCTAGTTGTGGAGGACGTTGCTTCACTGGCCCAACTTGGCACCATCATTGCGCTCTTCCCGGGTGAGGCACATCAGTCGCCGGCTTCTGGACGGCCACTCACCGTGGCTGCTGGCCGCTCACGCTGGCTG